CCAAGCACAATTAGGAAGCCCCAAATAAATAATAATAAAAAGATAGAAAAAAGTTGACAGCATAAGAAGAGGGTGAGGCAGAAACATCACAGTGGCTGTAACAAAGAACTTTGGTCTTCTGCAACGGAAGCAGGGGATGGAAGTGGGAACCCTGGAATGGAAGGGCTTGCAAAGGCCAGTGAAGGATTTAGGAATGGTTGGAGAGGGGGAGAGAGAGTGGTAATCAGAGGGAAAGATGGGGTTAGAGGAGAAGAGAGTAGTGGCACTGGCAGAGGCCATTTGGGGTCTGAAGAACGGATGACAGGAGAAACAACGACGCAGATCGAGGTTAGTAGTGTGGTGTGGTGGGGTGGCTATGAACATCGAAAAATGTTGAAGATTGGAGGAAAATAGAGTGTTGGCGTGTGTTTCCAATTGGAGAAGTGGTGGATGAGAAGATAGAGAGATACTTGCGTGCTCCTATTGTGGGGTCTTAACCTTTCTCTACAGTTCTTCATCCATACATTTGGAAAATCATTAAAGTATTTCTACTTCAAATGTTTTATTTTTATTTCCATGTCATTTTTCATATTATTTTAAAAAATAACCTAATATAATGAATTAAAACATGTTTTTCAAACAAAAATTAGAATTAGTTTATTTTTTGAAATTTTAATCTAATTTAGTATATCATTTGAAAAGTATATAAATTTAATCCTTTTAATCAAATTTTATTAAGATTGATTTTAAAAATATGTTTTACATTTAAAAACGTAAATTAAATTAATAAGATTTTATTAAAAAAATTAAATTGAAACATTTCTAAAATATTAAGATTAAATTAGACAAACTTTTTTGGAAAAAAACTAATTTTAATTTTTAACAAAAATTAAGCAACTAAAAACATGTTTAACAATATAATTACATAAATTTTTAAAATACGTTCTTTTAACCTTGTATTTATGGAATTCATTTTTTTTTAAAAAAAAGTTTAGTCCTTAATTTAAAAAAAAAAATCCTTTTAAAACTAAATCTAACGACTTAAAATTATGTTTTTTAAAATGTGATAAAAATCTTTGTTTTAGAAATGTGTATGGCAATATTTTAATATTGTAAACGCTTTTATTAGGTATATTTTAGACAAAGAGAGAAAATAAAGAGACTAGTGGGGGGTACACAGAGGTGGGAGGATTGGACTGGAAGAAGTAGGAGGGAGAATTGTCGCGCAAGATTGTATTTACACGCGAACTCGAAAATGTAGTGGAAGCGGTGAAGAATGACAAATTAGCTAGTATTTATTGGAACAGCAATGGAGTGTTGGATGTTTAAAAAAATAAAAAGCATAAAAATGTGGCTTTTTCATTTGTATATATAAAACATTTCACATTAACTATAATTTTGAGATGACTTAAAGAAATGAAATTATTTTTTATTCTTTTAAATTTTACAAAGATAAAAAAAAATTGTTTCAAATGACACTTTTCTTACTAAAGTTGAACTTCCTCGTGTTAACTCAAGAGTTCAAAACCCTTCAATGAAAGATTATTTAGTGGTAATAACAGTTGAAAAAAACGTACTTTATAATTTAAAATTGACGTCAATTACAACATTTATGACTTAGAAATTAGTTTGAACTCATGATTTGTGAATTGTTGGAAATAAGAGCGTTGAGGTGAATTTAATGGTTTTACGCTAGATTCCCTTGATTATAGACTAATTGAATGGTTTGAAAGAAGAGTTGAAGTACCAAATGATTGGAATGCAAAAAATTCAACTAGTCAACCAGAAAAGTCAACCAGACAACTAGAATGCAGAAAAGTCAACTAGAGTACAGAATAAGTTGCGACCAAGTGGCGCTGAGCGGTAATTTCCGCTGAGCGCCAGTTTTCAGGTGCCGAAATCACCGTTGAGGGGCAAAAGAAGCAGCTGAGGGGAAAACCTGAGGTGCACACTTGCCGCTGAGCGACACTTTTTTGGGCTTGGGCCTACTTTTTTGTAATTTTTAGAATAGTATATAAGCTTTAGGACGTTCTAGGGTTTGGATCTTTGGCTGGAACGAAGCAAAAACACAATTTTCACCCCTTGAGGGTAAGTTGGAGATGGTGACAGCTCTCCTCTTCTCTTTCTCGGGTTTTTCTATCTCTTCATTCTTTCATTTCATTGTCATTAGTTCTTCCATGACGATAGAGAACTAAACTTATTTTGTTGTTGGAGAATCAATGTAAATCCTTAGAAACTCTCTTGTGGAATTTGTTCTTCAAGATCATTTTTATGATAAATGCTTTCTCTCATTTAATTGTTAAGAGAATATTCTTCTTGCTCCAAATGCTTGTGATATTGATTCATGTATGGCATAAATCTTATGATTTGTAAGTATCAGGAGATGTTGTACTCCTAGGGTTGGACGATTTTGGAAGTGGACAACTCTCCTTTCTCTCCCTAGGATTATTATGAGAGATATCTTACAAATCACGATCTGGGGAATTCTTCCAACAATAATTACAAACCTAGACATAAAAGTATGAAAGGTGGTTGCCTTGAGCATAATGCCCAAGTTTCGATTTTTACTTCTGAGTCCATGCTTATTTGTGTGAAGAACGTGTTGCTTGTCCTTGGGGATGTTGAGAAGGATTTTGGATTTGGGTGTTAGTTTCCCTTTATTATTGATGTGTTCTTTTCCCTATGAATGAAAATGGGTGTTTTTATTTTTCCATTGGTGTGGGGTTGGGTCCTGCTTCTGTTTGATTTTGCAAAACCTTTTTCTGCTTTCTCAAGGTGTATTAACTAAGTAGAAATCGTTGGTAATTTTGCATGAAGGTCGGAGTGGTTTTCAGCAATGGGAAAATTCTGTAGTAGTCTTTGGCTGTCTTTTGATTCAAAATTTTATTTGAAGATGTTATATTGTTATTGGTTATGTTTTGGACAAAATTGTTTCTTGTACTTCGAAAAACCTGAAGTAACGAGTGTTTTTTATTTTGTCGGCATTTTATATTCGTTGTGTAAGACTTTCTCATTTTAAAATGCTTTCTTGGCTTTAGGGTTATACCTTTGGTTTCTATGAATTGGAATTTGCTATGGTATATTTGATTTGGATTTTAACTTGTACGAAGGGCAAAAGTCAAAATTCCGATGCACCTTTCATGCTTTTAGATAGTTTTTATTTGAAGTTTATTTCATCCTTTTATACTCAAATCATGTCGTAATTGAACAGCTTCTTAAAAAATTAGGCTCTTAGTAAGGTTGTCTAACTTGAGTTTATTTAAACTTGTGGAGGGTTGGTAAACTAAACAAGTAGTTTTACCTTAGGGTAAAATAATATTAAAAATATGTAATCATAGTATACAAACCACTTCCAACTTCACTATACCATAGTAACAAATGATAGTACAATCGTTCTTAATGATCCAAGGTATGAACATTTTTAGTAACAGCAAATAATAAAACCTGATTAATTGGCAAATACAAAATAAAATAACAGAGAGGAGGGTTGCTGGCCTTTGGATTTGGACATACATACAGGTTCAGTTTTAATAATGTATGAAGGAAGTTAAGGGTTCATTGCATACCTTCTCTAGCTTTCAGTTGCTTGCAGGTCAGAAAGGGTGTAATTGGTTCTTTTGCAGTTGCTGGCTTCCTTTTCTGGATGCTCAGTTCCGTTCCTTTGGCTTCTGAGTTCCTGTTGTACGCTTTGCAGACATAGATCTGGTTCATGGTTGGTGACTGGTCAGATGAGTGACTGGTGTTGCTTGGTGGTTGATGGCGGCCATGGAGAAATGGTTGATGGCCAAGCAATGCTCAAATGCAATCATGGGTCACAATGGATGATGTGAACCCTGTTGGATCAAAATTTCAGTACCTAAAAACATGAATTTCTTTGGACAATTGTAGTAAGAAAAGTGAGAAATTAAAATGGAAAAATATGGGTTGAGCTAAGAAATGAATGATAAACACCACAATCTCTAAAAAGATTAACAAGTTAAGAAAGATTGCCATTTTGCATTAGCAAATTCAAGGATAGAATCAAAAGTACTTCCTAAGAACCTAGAGAGAGAGAATCCTCTCAATTGGAAAAATTTTCAGATTAATTCAATTGTCTCCCCTCAAAATCTTGCATAAGGTTCTTTGTAAGCTTAGAGGCAACAAGTAGTAAATCCCCATTCAGGCTCCACATAGAAATAAATTCCCACTAACACTTATTTTCTAGTAGAATTGACTCCACTATCCCATTACTTATCATCATGGTTGGGGAAGCTGAAAAACACTAAAAAACTGTTCAAGACAGCCTTAAAACACATGAAATATTTAAATAAAAAGAACTAGAAAAATTACATTAATAATGAAGGGAAATAGGGCTTAAGCAATTATTTAGTTCAACTGCATAAATTCTAACCACCAATGCTTTTCCTATGATATGTGAATTCGGATTTGTCATGTCATCATCAACATGTAGAAAATAGCATTATATGATATATCGTCATGGGCATATCATGCAAATCAGTCCATCTTTATTCTTCAAATTCTTCCAAGTGCAGTCTTTGGCAGCTTACGTTTCAGAACCCTAAACCCTAAAAGGAAGCAAAACATAAACATTCTTATTTTTTAGGAGTTTTGAAGGATTATTTGCTCATTTCTATGTACCCTTGAACTTGCCCCTAAGCTTGCAAGTTAATACAAGTTCTTCCGAGTTTGCAGCCAAGCAAGTTTACAAGCATTCTTATCCTTGGAATGGGGAATAGTTTTTCCAAAACTGAGTTTAACAGCCACATTCTTAGCCTTGGAATGGTGGTTGTTTTCTTTTATGTGCACTGTATTTTTAACATGCTTTTCTTTTCTAATTTAGTGATGTCATGACGATAGAAAATAAATATAACTTTGGCCATAAGACTCAATTTGTAGGTTAATAAAAATCTTGATCAACGGTTTAGATAGGGCTTTGGTTGTCTAAATTTGGACTCTGCTTATTGAATTATGCAAACCATCTTCTCCTGTGGAACAAATTGCTGAATAAATTCATGTGCTTATGCTGTACCACAGGTAATAAAGTGGAGATGTCCAAAGCAAACCATCCCTCCCAATTCTGATACTGGTTTCCAAAAGAAACTCCTCTATCTAGAATCCATTGGCATTGACTCTTTCTCCCTTATTGAAAACCATCCAATGCTGATCACTACCTCTCTTACAGACATAAAATCGACTGTGGAATATATCACCTCCATGGATTTCACGGCAACCGAGTTCCGGCGTATGGTTGGCATGTGCCCGGAGATTCTGACCACCAATGTCTCTGACATCATACCGGTGTTCACCTTCCTTCATCGCGAGGTACACGTGCATTGTTCAGACATCAAGCGGGTCATAAATCGGCGTCCCAGGTTGCTTGTCTGCAGTGTCAGTAAGCGACTTCGTCCTACCCTATACTTCCTCCAAAGTATTGGCATAGAAGAGGTAAACAAGCATACTGACTTGCTATCATGTAGTGTTGAAGAAAAGTTCATGCCCAGAGTTGATTACTTTGAGAATATTGGGTTTTCTCGCCGTGATGCAACTTTAATGTTTCGCAGATTTCCTCAGCTGTTTTGTTATAGTATTAAAAATAATTTGGAGCCTAAATACAGTTACTTTGTGGTGGAGATGGGGAGAGATTTGAAGGAGCTGATAGAATTTCCACAATATTTCTCATTTAGCCTTGAGAATAGAATTAAGCCTAGGCATAAAAAGTGTGTAGAAATGGGGCTGTGTTTTCCTCTCCCTGCCTTGTTAAAAACAAAGGAAGTGAAATTTCAAAGTAGATTGGAAGTATTTGTAAATTCTTCAACACCCTTGAAAACATCCCCTCTGTGGTGTGCTGGCTCTGATTTTTATCAAGTATAGAATAACACTTGCTTTGTACATTTAATTGCTCTTCTAAATTTGTACATTTAGGTTCTTTTCACTTTTCACTTCGCAGTTGTTTCTTCAAAACTGAAAATTTAAGATTACGAACTAAATTGAAATAACTCTTTAAGTTGATTTCAAATAATAATTACTTTATTAGTTATTGAGGGTGATGGTCGTAGTTAGGAATGACAACGACTCGGGTCGGATACGAATAATGTCTATTTGCAATCCGATCAGGAAAAAAGTCTGACCTATAACCTGCCTACAATCTATATGGGTATCCGTTTAGAAAATATCTACGAGTGTTTTAAAACCCATAGATACCTGTAAAATATTAAAAATATATATTTTATATATTTTTTAAATAAAATTACAAAAATATATATAATATAGTATAAAGTAAATTAAAATTTAATTTTAATCAAATTTGACTTAATAAAATATAAATTAATTTTATTTTTAATTAAATTTAATTTTAAAAAATGAAAATTAATATTTATTTTTTGGATAGTAGGTATACCCATACTTGATCTTTTAGAAATGAGTATTAAAATACCTCTTATTTGTTATCTGCAAGTAATAAATATCTGTAATTGGTGGATTTTATCGACGGATAATAGTATTTGTGGATTTTTTTATCTTCCCTATTCGTAGGTAGATTAGTTATCATGAATTATTTTTCTTCATATCTTTAGTATTGTTGAAATGTAATATGTTTTTAGATATAGGCTCTGTAGGAGCCTACTGTTTACTGTTTATTGTTGATTACTGTTTTTCATTATTGTATAAGTATGTGTTTAGTGTGAAGATAATAATAAGAAAAAGAGAGTTTCTTTCTCTTAATTCTCCAAAAAGTATACACATTAAAACTGTCCTCCAATTTGGGGAATCAAAATGACCGTGGGAATCTATGTTATTCCACATTCTTAGGTAGTATTTCTTTATACACCATGACAACCTAATAACAACGTTAATCTAATACAACTGATCTTTTCATCAATTGTTACAAAATATAACCTAACATATATAATGTGGAGACCATAAACAAGTTACAGAAATCATCGTTTGATAAGAGTCATTAATAACCTAATTATGCATTATTCAATTGAAACAAAATTTGATATGATGTTACACAAACGATGGAACGTTGGAATAAATTTCATTAAACTATTAATCGAAAAGATTTACGGTCACCAATCCTGATAAATTTCTTCATAACTTTCAAAGCAGTACCTTTATCAACTGCCACAATATTAGAAGATTTAAAATTTATAACAATTTATCGGTTTAATTTCATTTTTATATTAAGCCAATTACATGTATTTCGTTTGCAATTATTTATGTCAATATTCAATTCGTTTTTAAATAAATATTTGAATCTCTTCATTATCATTTTACCAGTCTTATTTTATTTCTTTCTATACTTTATTATATTTCTTTATTATAATTCCTCTTTAAATTCAGTTAATTAAATACAATTTTTTTTATCAAAATATTTTTATTTATATTCATTTCTTATTGAGAATTACTTTTCAAATTTTCAATAAGTTTTTACTTTTTAATAATTGTGATAATAATTAGCTTTTTCTTTTTTTTCGAGACTTTATATCAATTTTGATTATATATTTATGATAATTTTGTTCCTAATTTATTTTTGACACAATATACTCCTTATATTTTCTAAATCCTTTTTTGTTTAAAAAAGAGGGTGGGCGTGACCTAAAAATTCAATTCCACTTCAGAAACAATTTATTATCTGTGATGGAACGTGTGGAAGCTGCGAGCCAGGCATGATGAGGTTGGCAGACGTTGAATTATTTTAGAAAAATATGAGAATCACGTTGAATTAGAATTAAATGGAAAGAAAACATTTAATAATTATTATAAATATTAAGACAAA